GTGTTTCTCTGGAGCAGAGACTGGAGCACCTGAAAAATGGATGGGGCAAAATACCTTCCCAACATGACAAAGACCCAAAGCACACAGAAAAACTGAGCACACAGTGGTTGAAGGAGAAAAAGGTGAATGTCCTTGCATGGCCTAGTCAGAGCCTAGACTTAAACCCCATTGAAAATCTGTGGAATGACTTGAAGACTGCAGTCCACAAACGCTCACCATCAAATTGAACTGAACTTGAGCAGTTCTGCAAAGAAGAGTGGGCAAATACTGCAAAGTCTAGATGTGCAATTTTAACTTGAGATTTGGAACCAATTTACAATGGTGTAAAAAATGACTTTAGAAAGATGACAGCATCATTGTTATTTTTACACAGAGATTGGTAGGTCAAATCTGTTGACTTTAGCAATCTTAGTTTAATTACAGTGGGGCAAAAAAGTATTTAGTCAGCCACCAATTATCGTGAGATTTTGAGTGAAAACCTCCTTCCATCAGCAAGGGCATTGAAGATGAAACGTGGCTGGGTCTTTCAGCATGACAATGATCCCAAACACACCGCCCGGGCAACGAAGGAGTGGCTTCGTAAGAAGCATTTCAAGGTCCTGGAGTGGCCTCCAGATCTCAACCCCATAGAAAATCTTTGGAGGGAGTTGAAAATCCGTGTTGCCCAGCGACAGCCCCAAAACATTACTGCTCTAGAGGAGATCTGCATGGAGGAATGGGCCAAAATACCAGCAACAGTGTGTGAAAACCTTGTGAAGACTTACAGAAAACGTTTGACCTCTGTCATTGCCAACAAAGGGTATATAACAAAGTATTGAGATGAAATTTTGTTATTGACCAAATACTTATTTTCCACCATAATTTGCCAATAAATTCTTTAAAAATCCTACAATGTGATTTTCTGGATTTTTTTTTCTCATTTTGTCTCCCATAGTTGAGGTATACCTATGATGAAAATTACAGGCCTCTCTCATCTTTTTAAGTGGGAGAACTTGCACAATTGGTGGCTGACTAAATGCTTTTTTTCCCCACTGTATATGCCAACAGTGACCGTTCAAAAATGGAAAAAAGCACTTGTGTTTTTTTGCCTCAAGTTTGCATGCCTGTAACTTAAGAAGTATTGTTAATCTCCATTTAGATTCTGGTTCTTAACAAACTTTCCTTTTGGTATCTTCATTTTAGAGGCCCTCAATAATTCAATCCCAGAGTTTTGAAGATCTTAATGCGGCTCCATGAGTAAACTGGACAATTGAATACATTTTCAGTGGTCAAAAACCAAATGTGGGTCATTTCGCATTCAGCTGATATACTTTTTTCTTTTAAAGAGTAATATCTGAAGAACAAATAATGTTGAAACTAGAAATTTATCTTGTGATTTTCTATCAAAACAATTGCATAGAACATACCTGTCTGAGTGCCATAAATATTATTTTTCCAAAGTTTGCATGCCTGTAACTTTAAAAGCATTCAAGATATTTTAATAGGGCTGGGTAAAAAATAACGATATCTCGATTTTAATCGATTCTCATTTTTACGGAACGATATTGATTCTTAAATCCCAAGAATCGATTAGTCTAGCCTGTTTTCAGTTAATGGATGCAACATTGAAGCACACCTCTCATCCAATAAATCGCAATAAGCATTGTGCGTTGGTACTTGAAACAAAGTCTCAGATTTCAATTTATGCCCATTGTATTGCAGTATTCAAACAATAAATGCCGTTTTGGCGCTGTTTAATGTGGAGTGATAGATCACTGTAGCGCCTCAGTTCAACAGACAGTTCAACAGCGCGAGGTGCACGTGAACTTATCATCTCCTCCACATTAATACCAGCTTCAGCACAAAATAAACATGACTAAACATCCGAAGGCAACTTAAAAGAAAAAGTACAACTTTACAATTCGTATCCTGTCCAATGTAATCGCTCAATCAGTGTTTCAGCCGCGAAAAGACGTCAGTATAACAGCTTGTAAACAATTAATGTAACTCACATTTACCTCAGAAAGCATATTTGGTGACCATAAACTCATTAGTCAGCCAAGTTAGAAAAATAAGCTGTAGAGAGGGGCATTTTGCTAAATATATGCACCATATAACATTCATTATAATTTTTTACTGATCTTTAATGTTTTATTTATGTTTGAATAAATCCGTCCAAGTTTTTATGACAGCCACTATTAAATGTGTATATTTAAAAAAAAAAACTAACTGAAGTAATTGCAACTTAATTATTATAAAAACCTAATTAAGTGCAATTTAAGCAGTTGTACAGCACAAATCAGTCAATTTTAACCTTCAATATTATAATGTAGTACCAACTGACTCTCATGTATATTTCACAGCATTAGTTGAGATTTTTTTTTCCTTAAGAAAATTTGGCATGTACTGTACCTAATATATATCTAAAATAATCGATATTGAATCTAATCGAATCGGTAATCGAATCGAAAGCTTGTGAATGAGAATCGAATCAAATCGTGAAATTTGTGTCAAAAAAACCCAGCCCTATATTTTAATATCCTTCTAGATTTTCATTCTTACTAAACTTTTCTTTTGAAATCTTAATTTTCAAGGCCCCATATAGTTCATTCCCATAGATATAGGGATTTCAAAGCAGCTCCATGTTCAAATTGTTGAATTTTTAGTTTCTTTGGTTGATTTGACACTGAATGACCCACCATTTACCCAGCAGCCAATACACAAGCTCCATCGCTGTACTTGTTTGTAACAGCTAAGTGCGTTTTGTAAGCAGTGCTCTCAAACTGCATGATAATTCATGCATTTCATGCATTCTCGGTTACACAGGAATGTCAAAGCAAAGCCAACGCCTTTTACAAGCAATGCAGCAGAGTGTGTGAATCACTGCTCTGGGTTAACAGTCCAGAGGGACTCTTCTCTACTGGCTTTAAATATCAATTTCTTGTCCAACACTCAACAATTAGGAAACCAAAAAGAATTAATCTGCGCTTGAGAAAGATAGTTTATGTCATTTCCTCAGTCTAAAGTTAATGACAGCACTTTTGTAACTTCCAAATAACTTTCTTTTTATACTAAATCACATATAATCTAAATTTATGTACATTAAATAATCTAAAACAAGATTTCTTTGTCAAAACTTTAGCCAAGAGAGAATTTCCAGGGAGACGGTATAATTGGTACAAGGTGCATGCAAAAAGATCATTATTAAAGGTTTTGGAGACGTCATTGTGCAGCTCTGAAGAAAAAGAAAAAAAAACACTCATGCAATGGATCAAACAGGTATTTCAAGAAGGTATTATATATTTACGTCACATACGCAGGAAGCATGACAAGGCGGATAACTTCTCAGAATGCTGTAATTGCTCCAGTCTTATTCAGAGACTGATTGTTGCTATTTTGCAATTTAAAAGATCAGGAAATTAGATAACCTGTAAACTTAAGCTTCCAAACAAACCTATGCTGCAAAATACAGACAAACAGAGTTTTTTGTTTTTTTGCTGAAATATTTCAAATGTGCAGTGTTGGAAGGCCTCCAGGAACGGGGCTGGGAACCACTGGTTTAAGGATATGGGTTTCTTCCATTCATTAACTGCCTTAGCAAATTCTATTAAGAATTAAATACAATTATTTTTTATGTAAAAATAAAATAAAACATAGTAAGAGAGGTTATTCATGTCTTAGTACTTACTGGTCACCAACTCACGAGGTACAGTAACAAAGAACCTGTGAGCAATTTGAATAAGCCATAAGACACTTCCTGAATACAAAACAATAGAACCAAATTCCTAACTGAACACGAGAAACTATTGTTTTGCACTTGTACTTCCAGACTTGGATTCATTTTTCAAGAACATTTCACAAGGTTTCTTGGTTTTGAATTATAAACAACGTTCAAAATAATGAAAATCAGTATTGTGTGACTTTGTCTGTGGTTAGTAGCCTAAATCTTGCTTTCTATACATGTGGTTCCTCTGTAGGACAAATTTGTGAACTTGAGGAGAACTGATTTCATACACTAAAAATCAGCTGATTCAGAGACATTGAGATGAAAATAGAAGTTATACAGAATGAAAAAGTTATTAGTGAGACCTAAGTGTCCAAATATGGGGTCAATGTATACACAAACATCTTCAGGTGACGTACCTCAATGTGATACTCTATGAGTAATGCAGCATTATAAACGATTAATTTAGATTGAATTATTATGCGGAAGAGATGCCCTGAAGATGAATATACAAGTTACCAAGAACTGTAAAATAAAAGTTAAGGTTTTACTTCAGAAAACCAATGTTCAAGTGGTTTTAATGTACCTACAAACCAAAAAACATCTAAAGAACCTGTAATGATACATCAATATCCTTCATCTTCAAAGAACCAGGTTCTTTCAACAGAACTAACAACCACTGCTGGATCTTCATATCTTCAAGTACTGTAGAAAATAAAGGCTCAGGTTTTAAGAACCTACAATGCAACAACAAGAACCTTCTTAAATCGCCAAAGAACCATATACACTCTTAAAAATAAAGTTTCCAAAAGGAGGTTTTTGCAGCAATGTCAGAACAACTATTTTGGGTTCCCCAAAGAACATTTCAGCAAAAAGATCATAAAAGAACAAATGTTTATTATTGTGAAGAACATTTCAATACACTAAAGAACCTTTGGATGCATGGATATTAAAGGTTCTTCATAGATGCCAATAAAAACATTTATTTTTAAGGGTGTTTCAACTCAAGTCCCCAATGGACCTAAAAAGCAAAGTGTCATTTGCCGAACATAACAACCACTAAGGAATCTTCTACAGGATAACATCATTATGAGCAAAGGCCTCTTTAAATGATGCACAAGTCCAACACATTTTAACTGATGTTACGTTTCAAGTCACCAAGCAAACACTGCACACGTCAATCGCTACCACAACAAGGAAACAAGATCCTCCAACCGTCTCAACTTGCCTGTTGGAAGAGAGACTCAGATGTCAACGTGCATGAGGCTAAATAAAGACTGACAGCAAAGAAACTCACCTGTGTGCCTTCACCGATGCCCAAAGAACTAGAAGAAACACTTGTTTTTGTCTACAAAAGACTGCTGAACATCTACACGCATTGGCTTGTTACTCCGAGAAAGAGATCATGAACGAATCCTTGTCTTGGATATAGTTATCAGCCCAATGCGTGGTTACATGCTGGTTTACAATGATGACACTGATTGTATGTGCAACCCAAGCCAATGATGTGTCACATACACACCCCCCTCTACCCCACCCACCACCCCCTTCCAAACCAGCAGATCTGGCTCCAACTCGCCGGAGGAGAAGACGAGGCTGCATGTGCAGCTCAGCTCGGCAATACACTGAACAACCTACTGAACCGTTGACAATGCGCTCTAATCCCATACAGCACTCATTCACTCCACTGTTTGTGCAAACTAAAGCAGCACCACACCTCTCTGAGGTTTAACCGGCCTGCAACACTTTTCAAGTGCTATTTGGATCACGTGCCTCATCGATGAGGATTCAGGAGCCAGAAAAAGTTTGGCCGAAGCGGTCAGGACTGACAATGATATTATTGAGCTTGGGAAGACTGGGGCTAGTTTTTGTGGTCAGTGTAGTTTGAATGGCCGCTTCCGCATTCAAAGTTAGGAAAATCTCAAAGACCAGGGGCAGAGTTCAACTGAGCTGTCAATAAAACCTACACTGACGTCCATGTTCAATGGCTACATTGAGAGAACAGAGGAATTTCATCAGATACAAGGACTATGACCAGAAAAAAACTGACAGTCCAATGCTTATGAAATGATATTGTATTAACCTGGCTTACTGAAACTTTTCAATCAACCACTTCACAAATCACTTCAGATGTAAGATGGCTAATGTCCGCCAGAGTTGATGGCTCTCTTTCAGTTAATGAGTGTGAATTTAAATTGAACTGGACAACAAGACATGCAGTTGAACTAGAATTTGAATTGAAATGTCACAAATTTACTGAATTGCAATTTGAAAAAAAAAAGAGAACCATTTTGTTAATCCATTAGCTCATTGTTTATTTATCCTATTTACTTATTTAAATTTTTTATATATATATATATATATATATATATATATAACATCAAAATGTGAATATATTGATTATATAAAGAAAATTCTGGGAAATTACTCTTCTATTGTAGTGTATAAAATGAAAGTTCATAAAATAATATAAGGAAATTTAAATCATTTGAATGCAAATTTTTATATGCAGAATTTCAAACACTGATTATTACTGATCATAATTCATAAGTCATGACAATGATCCTGCATATGTCACCAGAGAGAAGTTCAATAAAAGGAAGATTGAGTTGTTATATTTTTATTAAAAATGTTGAAAAAAGAAGCATGCATGGATGAATCATTCATAAGTTCAATATCATATGTTTCTAAAAAATAGTCCATATATATGAGTAATTTATACAGAAAAATGAAACGCATTATTAAAAACTAAATTAACAGCAGTATTTCTTTGAATTCCAATCCATTTTGTCAAATTCAAAATACAATTCTACATCCTGTTTGCTACATCTAAATTTGAATTCCCTTTCATCTCAATTCTCAGTGGCGTGTACAAGTTACAGCAAACACTCATTTGCCAGTGACCTTTAAGCATGAACCCTGGAGTCATAAAGGAAAGACAAACAAAGAACAACGTCCACAACCGAGGCTGTTTTCTAGATTCCCAAAATTGACCGAATGCAATGTTTTATGTGTTTCACACCTCACTGTGTTTGCTCATTTCCATTGAATCACATGTAATGGGGACACTAACAGCAAAAGAACAACATTGTGATACGCAATTTTCCTTGCCACAAAACCCATTATATTGATGCAGATCGGCCTAATTTAGTAACAACATGAGTGTGGCCTGTCAGCCGATATCAGCGTCTTGTCTTGGCTCAAAGGAATTGCGGTACTCGAGTGTATAATCTTGCCAAATAAGGTTCTTGCAAACAAACAAAGGGATGCAGTAAAGGAACTGATCCTTGTTTAAATATTCAGCTCGCTATGATGGTGATCAATGCAAACCATGATGCAAAACAGGCTTCATGTCAGTGTTTAAGCAGCCCAGCTGGTGTGAGCATTACAATTGTAATTGCTGCATGTTCAGAGCGCAAAAGCTGCAAGGAATGAAGTCATTTTTTGCAACTTAGAAAAAAAATTTTTTGTCTGTCCCAAGGGATGAGCTACTGTAATCTCATGCATCTCATGAAACGACCAAGTTGATGTGACTGTTTGCGACAAGGAAATGGCTTAAAAACAGCTCGTCGGGGAATCTGTGAGAGTCGACATGAACTTGTGCTGACGCGTTTCTGCTTATCCCAAAGAAAACAGTGACGAGCTTTGAGTGCCAGTGGGTGTTGTTTTTACGTGCCTGTAGCTCACAAAGGGTTGGGAAAGCCGTGAGAAAATGCGATATGTGCCGTGTACCTTCAATATAGTCATTTCCCCTCTGACTCCTCAGTAAACTACAAATTCAAAATAATAGCTCTGTAAATTATTGGTAGAGATCGGTTTTCTAAGAGCCAAATGGCTTAAAGATATGCAAGTACAGTATAATGTCAAAAGCAATTATTTTAAACACGGTTCCCGTTCATTAAAAAAAGCATTTGGAGGGGAAATCTATCATGCAAAACCAATCAGTTACATATTAAGTACTAATTTGATTATTGTTTCTATGGCCTTGACCTTAATGGCTTCTCTTAAGAGTATGATGTGCTGGCCGTGCAGTATGGTTGCAAAACTCAATTTAACTGCTAAAGTATGGCAAGTCAGGTTTGTTTTGAATGGATAACGTGATCAAAAAACTATTTCCTGCGTCCCACCCAAACAGTCTCAATGATCATGGCCGCTGTCCACACACAAAATGCACCAAAGTCACCAAGAATATCATGAAAAAGTTCATATTAATCAATTTGTAGCTTTTAATAAGTCCACTTATAGTGTTAGTCAAGGTTTCTTACATCAAAAACAGTCATAATTAGGTATTACATGATCATTTTCCACCCTCTACTGAATTACAGACGTCATCATGAAATGGTCTGACATGCATTGATTCATTGTTCAAGTCATTAAACCAGCAATTAGTACACCGAGTCAACTAAGCCATTGTTGCTAATTTCCCCTGAAAGGTGTAAACGGCATCCTAAAACAGCTGCTGTGTCTCGTTCCATTCCCTAGTTCCCTAGTCTCGATCTACTAAACATCAGGACCATGATTACCTCACTTCCAGCTGTGAAAGTACAGTGCCAAACTCAACAAATAAGGATTTTTCAGCTGCTTCAGGTGTGTCTAATTGGGGTTGGAGCTCAACTCTGCAGGACACCGGCCCTCCAGGACCGAGTTTGGGCACCCCTGAGCTAGGCCCTAAACTCTCTCAATGTCCATGTTCACTTGTTTTATTGAGCATTTGAGGAATTAAAAGGGAGCAAACTTTCCAGTGCACTTCCAATGGCCGCCATTTTGGTCAGTGGACCGACTGCTGAACTAGAGAGCTAAATAAGCCACGCCCAGTAAAAATAGTTCAATAATGGCTTGAGTTTGGGGGACAAATATGCACCTAACGTGAGAAGTATTCAGGGTCATTATTATTTTTGCGGTTCCGTTTGGCTAGCTAACACCGCAGAAACCACACCTTTCAGTTCAAATGCTGGCTGATTCTTTAACATTTATATACATGACACCTGAAATGACCGACCAACTGCTTAGCAAGTGAATTGATTAACATGGCGTACTCACGAGCTGTGGGGCCCAATATATTATTAATTTACCATCCTTCAAAAACGGGCTCCTTATGATGCTGCTGCATTTCATTTTGGCCAATTAGCAAAACAATCCGTGCTAAAGCTTTGGCTAAATACCGCGCAAACTGAAAATGGGCGGTACTTACCTTCCTGGACCTAGTCTGTAATTGGTCGAGAACAATTGGTCTAAATAATAATTCTATTTTAACACTTCACGATCTATTTTCAATGTAAATGTATATTTAAAACTATAAATATCATTATTCTGGTGTAAAAAAATTTTAAATGGTGCTTTACGTTGACGGCGTGGTCACGTGGTACCTATTACTTTTCTCAGCGCTGGTCAATCCTAACGGTTTATGATGAGAAATGTTTCCTTTTTATTTCAGTTATCAATTTTTTATATATTAAAGAGATACAAATAATATACTTTCTAGTGAAAAAATGTGTCAAATGTGTAAAAAAAATGAAAATGAAAAATAAATAAAGATTAGATTTGAATGCGTTCAAATGGTGTCTTCGGCTTTCTGAACGGCTGAGCGCCACCTTGAGGAAAAACAACAACTTTCTTTTTCCTAGGAAACAGTTATTGGCTATAACGTGTGTTGCATAACCTAATTTTCTTATTTATGCTTAGCATATACACAGCCATAGCTATGCATTCAACCAGATGAATGGTGAATCTGTACCTCTCTTTCATTAGCACTAATCTAATGGTAAATTAGCTGTCTGAGAAATGGCACTGCAATATCCTCACTACAATAGCTGATTGCATAACTGCGCCTGCTTTTCCATGATAAATGTGTATATTATGATGCAAAACAGGCTTCATGTCAGTGTTTAAGCAGCCCAGCTGGTGTGAGCATTACAATTGTAATTGCTGCATGTTCAGAGCGCAAAAGCTGCAAGGAATGAAGTCATTTTTTGCAACTTAGAAAAAAAATTTTTTGTCTGTCCCAAGGGATGAGCTACTGTAATCTCATGCATCTCATGAAACGACCAAGTTGATGTGACTGTTTGCGACAAGGAAATGGCTTAAAAACAGCTCGTCGGGGAATCTGTGAGAGTCGACATGAACTTGTGCTGACGCGTTTCTGCTTATCCCAAAGAAAACAGTGACGAGCTTTGAGTGCCAGTGGGTGTTGTTTTTACGTGCCTGTAGCTCACAAAGGGTTGGGAAAGCCGTGAGAAAATGCGATATGTGCCGTGTACCTTCAATATAGTCATTTCCCCTCTGACTCCTCAGTAAACTACAAATTCAAAATAATAGCTCTGTAAATTATTGGTAGAGATCGGTTTTCTAAGAGCCAAATGGCTTAAAGATATGCAAGTACAGTATAATGTCAAAAGCAATTATTTTAAACACGGTTCCCGTTCATTAAAAAAAGCATTTGGAGGGGAAATCTATCATGCAAAACCAATCAGTTACATATTAA